TAGCCTCAAGAGCCGCAACACTGGCTTTACAACTCTGTCCAAGTAGGCTCCAACAGGTATAGGAACGGTGTCTGGTTTGTGAACTCATGGTGGGTTAGCTGAGAGAGAGATTAAACTCGCTTGTCAAGAGAGATCATCAATGAGGCGTCGTGCAGAAAAGTAGACTACAGAAAAAAAAAAAGACGAATGTCAGCGTTGAGGTCATGGATGTTTCGTGGGTACGCACAGACGGGAGCAACAATGTCGTCGTCGTCGTCGTCGTCGTCGTCGTCGTCGTCACAACGTGTTTAAAAAGTCTTTTAATTGCTTCACCCCAGTATACTAAAAGTGGTTGTAATAAACCCGAGCGAGTGGCTCGAGAGAGATGCGGGTGTACTGGGAGGTGGGGAGGGGGCAAGACTGGTTGCATGAATTCACTGTTACAGGTTTTTTTATGCACCATCGAACCAGCAGCCTCCTGCAAGTTTTGAATAGAAGTGGAACTTGCCAAGGCCCAACTGAATGGCCACTCCCGTATGAATTCCGATTTTATTCAACCGCATTCCTGCACCCAAGCTATTCTTTACGGCCACGCTGCTCGAGTATATACCACATGCGAGAAACAGTGTACATACACGAGTATAATAAACCTCTACAAAACCATGCATAACGAGAGAGGAGAAGGTAAAGCGACGCATGTGCGTTGAATCGACAATTAAGCGCATTTGGCTTGGCAATGCGCTCATCGAGACTCTCGCCAGTCGTCCCCAAGCAAAAAAGCCAGAGCCAATCAGAGCTGCAGAAAGGAGTACGGCTACAACGTGAACTCACCTCGCCTTCCATGGCGCCACACAAGCCTCCCAAGCCAGCTTGGATTACATAGCACGTAAGGAAACTGAGCAAATCTTCAAATTCCGTGAAAACTGGCTCTGAAACTGGCTGGTGTGCGCACAGAAGACGGCGAGCGTCGCGTCGGACATTAGCCTCAAGAGCCGCAACACTGGCTTTACAACTCTGTCCAAGTAGGCTCCAACAGGTATAGGAACGGTGTCTGGTT